AGGGAATAAATAAAGTAGTATATTTATGCAGAAAAAAATATTTCATGTATATTTCATATTATTTATGTATATTAGATATACAGTATTTATATTTAATAAAAATGTTTTTGTAATTATTATATTTAACATATAACAAAAATGTAACATATATTCCTTTAACGCATAATAAAAATAATTATTCCTTTGGTATTATTTAACACATAACAAAAATGTAAATATTCCTTTAACGCATAATAAAAATAATTATTCCTTTGCTTAAATGCATAATGAAAATACGTAATAATTTTATTTAAATGTATGATGCATGGCCATGGATTTGCTGTCATAATATTTACGATTAGATATTTTCAAGACTCAAATCATAATGGCTGCGTTCAGCAGAGAAAGCAGCTTTGCAACTGTTGTAAAATTCTTTAATATGATTGGTCTTGCCCCTATTTCCTCATTAGATCTAAATGTATAAGCCAATCATATTCAAAAATTTTACTACAGTTGCAAAGCTGCTTTTTTTGCTGAACGCAGCCAATGGGCGAGTTCAAGACGACAAAGCGGCTAGGTACGCTTGCCGAGCGATCGAGTATGATTGGTTCGATCTATAAGTAATAACCAATTATATTCAATCGCTCGGCAAGCATACCTAGCCGCTTTGCCGTCTTGAACTCGCCCAATGATTCTTCTTCTTCTTCTTCCTAGTCTTAAAAATGATACGATGCATGAGGCGAGACGAAACAGAAACAGAAACTATGAAGTTTGTAGAGCTACAACTTAGAACATATAGTACTGGAAGGAGCATAGGCATATGGTCCCTGTACATTCGGTTGAAGCCAAGAAGATTGACAAGGATGGAGAGATTAAGATCGTAGATTGTAATGCGCATACTCCATACGCGTGCGCGGTGGATTATCCAACGTGGATGCTAGACTAGAAAGCACGTTAATTATTTGCGAACTGTGTTTGGTTCTGTTTGGTTCTATTTGGTTCTATGAAAATTATAAGTGATTTGTGGCAATATATTGCTATATTTGCAAAGAAGAAAATCAGTCTTCATATCACTTGTAAGTTTAATTATTTGTGAGTATAGTATTAATATACGGAATTTATAATGTTAGTTAATTTTCATAAGGATTGTTTTTGTTGTCATACAATTCTAACATGCTTAGCACAAGCTACAAATAGACGTAGTTTTCCAAATATTTACATACAACAGTGCAGTGCAAGAAAGTTAATTCCAGTATAATTAATCACTTGTATAAATGAAATATGCAACTTTCTAATAAATCAAAATGTTACTCTCTATGATGATGTTCTGATAACTCATCAAAAGAATCGCCGCAATTTTCAGTTTTCTTAATTGAAATTTATTAGCCTTTAACCTTAAATTCATATATCAAATGTACACTGCAGCTGACAGCTGTGTATAATTCGCTTGCGCGCGCATTCCCTCCCTACAGTCATGCGCATTACCAACTACGATCTTAATCTATTCCTCTCTGTCAATCTACTCGCCTTCACTTTCGAGAGACTATGCTCCTTCCAGTACTATATGTTCTAAAGGTACTTTTTCATGCGCAGCACGCTGCAGCAGCAATTCGTTACTATTGGTTAAGAATTTTATGTAAGCTAGATGACGTACTTCCGGCGCAAATACATTTTGCCGCAGTTCGTTGAAGTTGAACCGAACGAACAGCAAGCAGCAAGCGGCAAAATCGAGAAAGCGTACAATATGTCCGTCGTTT